GCTGGTCTCGAACTCCTGACCTCAGGTGATCTGCCCACCTCGGCCTCTCAAAGTGCTGGGATTACAGGTGTGAACCACCACGCCCAGCTGAGATCTGATGGTTTTATAGAGGGGAGTTCTCCTGCACAAGCACTCTTGCCTGCTGCCATGTCAGATGTGTCTTGCTTCCCCTTTGCCCTCCAACATGATTGTGAGGCCTCCCCAGCCATGTCCACATGTGAGTCAATTAAGCCTCTTTCCTTTATAAATTACCCAGTCTCGGGTATGTCTTTATTAGCAGCGTGAGAACAGACTAATACGGCATGATATTCTGGATCCTAATATTTGCAATTTGGATTTTGGATGAGTTACTTCCCCTTTTAGAGCCTTAGTATCTGTCTGTAATGAGAATTTTTTTTTTTTTTCCTTAATCTCCTTTTCTAGCTTAGAGTAGCCTAAAAGAGAGTTACTCTTTTAGGCCCTTCAGTTTTTTCCTTTTTAAAAGTGAGATAGCATACTTTTTGGTCATCTCACACTCCCAGTGAGGCTTTCTGGGTCACCCTTTCTCTGTTTCCTCCCTTCCCGTCCTGCTGGCAGAAGTGTGGATTGTGGAGAGCCTCACGACCCATGACTCATGCCTAGGTTGCCTGGCTACAGGGTGACAATTCTGCCCAGTGTCTGGCTGCTGTGAACATGTCTGATGTCTGGAGATTTCTCTGGATCTTCCACGGAAAATGTTTTGAGAACCCCTTGTTAGGATGAAACACTGAGGTGCTGTTTTGCCTCATGATATTAAAAAAAAGACACCATGCAGCTAGTGAGGAGTTTTATTGGCTACAAAATAGACGCACAATGATGAGAATCTGAAGGCTGCCGTAGGAAAGTAGAGCTTTACACCCATAAACTCACACTTTGATTCGAAAAGTGCAATATATTAAGAGCATTATGAGAAGTCTGGTGAGATTGTAGAATGTTACAGAAAAAAATAATACAAGTTTCTGAGTCTGATAACTCCAAAGACATCTTTTAGAACTCGTTGGTGTCTGGGCAAGAACTTTCCTTGGGGGAAAATAGATTTTACAATAGGCAGAAACTTTCACTGGTTTCATGCATGCTTTTGGATCTCATTCACTTGACAAAGAACTAATCTTCCGTTGACGGTCTCCTGGGTTATGGCCTTGATCTTTGGAGTTGCAGACGCTGAGAAAAAGAGCACGGAAGATGTCACTGCCATGCTTCCTCCACCATCTGAACTGTACTCATTTTCAGTTCCCTGCTGTCAGCCCCTGAAGGCTCTCAGTGCCTTCCAAAACGATCACTAAGCAATATGGCGGGCTCTGCTGCAGGCAAAAGGGATTTCCCCAAGGAGGGATTTTCTCCCACTCTCCAGGAAATGAGGGTCTCTGAACAGTGTCACCTTCCGGAGGTGAAGCCTTCATCATAGGTGTGCCTCATATGGAACCTAGTCTCTGACCACAAGCACTTGAGGAGTTCTTTCTCTGCCTGTGGGCTTTGTAGCGCTGCACAGATTCCTTGAGCTTACAGAGCACTTAGTGCTATTCAGGGTACCTCATTTTAAGGTCTAGAAAGCATGCCACCTGAGGAATGGGTGAGAAGCCAGGGATGCTTACTGTGGCAGTTTTCAAATATATAACTTATTTGAATAAGTGCCTGTTGAAACATCAATAAACCAATTCTAGACCATAGGGAAGAATTGAAATCATTAATAAAATTACAAGGGAGAATTTTGTTAAATTAAAACCTCTCCAATGGGGCCATCCCATCAAGTATGGGGTCCCCATCCTAGGACACGTGTGAAGAGAGGCTCAAAGACCCTTGTCTTATTTTGTAGATGGGTAGCAGTTAGACCAGCTGTTCTGTGATGATTACTCCACCTGATTCTTTGAATCTCCAGTGACTTAGTATAGATCTATCACAAACTAATCAGAAAGTGCCACTTGTCGCAGACTACAGCCTCCTGGAACTTTTCTGTGAGATATTAAAGGTAATCTGAGAAAGCATGTTTCCAGGTCAAAGGTGTTTGGGAATACTGGGTGAAACAAAGTTAAACTTTTGTCGTTTCTTCTTCTTTCTTGTTCCTTTTCCCCTTCAGAGCAGCACCTGTTCCATCTTTAACATACTGAACTGCACAACAGGACTGTTCAAGAAGAGGATCATGGCACACAGTATTTCTAACCTCATCTGGCCATAGAACACAGTGTTCATAATTCACTATTCAAATCTCATGCAACACGAGTGTTCAACAGAATCATCTGAGAAATGACATGAAATCTTTGCCTCTTAATTTTCTAGGGGTTTAGTAAACTGACTAACCGACTCCATTACTTAATAGAGACATAATACTATTAATTATCATTTTAATCTTCTTTACCGCTTGCTTTTATATATATTGAGGACGATAATGAGAGCTTACATCATTTTGTATTAGCTAATTTGTTAACTGAAAATTCCTGACCATTTGGGAGTGAAATAAATTTTGAAGCCAGGACATTTGGGAGTACACTAAGGATTATGACTACTACAACATGGATAACCATGCTAATTCCTTAAAAATAGAGATTCAAACAATGAAGGAAATTTTTTTACCTTTCATGCTCGACTTGGATTCTTCCATTGTCCTATAAAAGTGATAAAGGTTAAAGCTCACTTTAGTATTAGCAACGATCATAACAACTTCTCAGGATGGACTAACTTCCTTCGCTTGCTTGTAAATCCTCAGCTCTTTCATGAGGATAATTGTCTGAGCTTAGTAGCCTCACAGTCATAGGTTCACGGGAGAGCCGGACTGGATGCAGAAGGCATTGGGTACCGCCTCCTGTTAACCCTGGAGTCAGGGGAAGTCCACAAACCATCCCCTCTTTTCAGTCAGCTGCAAGCTTGGTTTCCTCTAGGATGCCTGCCAGGGTCAGGTCTCAAGCCTGAGACCCCTGAGCTTCTCAGGCTGTTCAGAGTTTGGTCCGGTGATGTTTTATTTATGTATTTTTATAAAACTTCTATCCCTTCCTTTCAGGTCATAGAATATACATGCCCTTTATATGGCCAACTGTTGTTATTTCCTGGGGTGGCCAGAAATATCAGATTGAAAGTCTAGACATCTCTATCTCTTATGCATCTTTTTTGTTTTTTGGCTAGTGGACTAACACATTCCCCCTGCCTTCTTTTCTTTGGATCCAAAATTGGGTGCATTCCTACTGGGAAACACGATGGCCAAAACCTTTTGAATTGTTTCCTTCTAGAGACCTTAACTCTTCTGACTGCAAATCTTAGGGTCCTGTGAGTATTAGTTGATTGATTACACTTGCTGCTTAGTGAAATACAACTGACTATAGGTACCTTCTGGAGAAGCTCAACACAGCTTTTCTTTTGCTAGAGTGACTCTTGCTAACAGAACCCAAAGATGCACACATATACCCACAGGAGCTGGATGCCTCTTGCATGCTCCTGTCATGCCAGCCTTTGCCTTACCCTTCGCTCTCTCCCTCCAGGAGCCGTCGGTACGTGGTGATTTCCTTCTCCAGGTGGGTTTTGATGCCCAGCAGCACTTGGTATTCGTTGTTCTGCCGCTCCAGGTCATGGCGTAGCTGCATCAGTTCCTCCTCGTAGTGGGAGATGATCTCTTGCATGTCCTGGAGCTTGCAGGAGTACCGAGACTGGGTCTCAGATAACATGTTTTCCAAAGCCGATTTCTGAAAGAGGAAATGATCTTTTGTTAATTAACTGATGGCTTGATTGAGTCAATAACAGGTGACTGTTGAGTACTTAGCAGATGCCGACCAGTTGGCTAGGTGTCTTGGTAGCTGCTGAGGACACCAAGGTGAGAAGTAGGCTGACTTACAGGTTTGGGACTTGGGCAGTCAGGAGTTGAGTGATGCTGGGACTTTTGAAGTCCATTGCTTTGCTCTGAACTGTTCTTTAACTCCTTACATTTTATCTTTGACCAGATTGAAAACTCCCAAAGAGCGACAGCAACTGGGACTGCTATCTCTTTGTATCTTCGGAGAAGGGTCTCGATTAGGGATGCCAGATAAAATAGAGAACGTCTAGTTAAATTTGAATCTCAAATGAGCAATGAGTAATTTTTTAGTGTAACTATGTCCAAAATATTGCTCCACCTGCGTATACTAAAAAAAAAAATTGTTTTTTTATTTGAAATTCCAACTAAACTGAGTGTCCTATATTTTAATTTGGTAAATCTGGCAACCCTAGTCTCAAGCAATGCTTTTTGATTATGATGATGGTAAAAAAGAAATGTCATTTTTTGAGGAAATTCTAACAGTTGCCAAATGAAGTTTCTGGGCTAGAATATGGAGCACTGAGTTCAAGGCCCAGTTCTGTTTGCATGTAACACCTGCTTTTCTGAAGTGCATAATTTTAACCTTAAAGAGAATCTCATAACTGTGCTGAATACTCTCCCTTTATCGTGGCTGCTAATTTTCAGGGGGGCCGTTCATGCTCCCTGGTGGTTAGAGCACATTTCCCTGGTCAGTCACTCTCCTACTCTCCCAGGGGGTTATTTTGTTCCCTCTCCTCTGCCCTTCCCATCCTTCCTCTGAGTCCATGGCCTCGCTTCCTAATTTCTTTTTTTTTTTTTTTTTTTTTTTTTTTTTTTTTTTAGACAGAGTCTCGCTCTGTCGCCCAGGCTGGAGTGCAGTGGCGCAATCTCGGCTCACTGCAAGCTCCGCCTCCCGGGTTCACGCCATTCTCCTGCCTCAGCCTCCTGAGTAGCTGGGACTACAGGCGCCCGCCACCGCGCCCGGCTAATTTTTTGTATTTTTAGTAGAAACCGGGTTTCACCGTGGTCTCGATCTCCTGACCTTGTGATCCGCCCGCCTCGGCCTCCCAAAGTGCTGGGATTACAGGCGTGAGCCACCGCGCCCGGCATTCTCGCTTCCTAATTTCATTGATGAAACGAAAGCAATCGGGAGAGACCGCCCACTGCTCCCGCCATTGCGCCCACGCACATGCTTGAATCTGCGTGCGGGTGCTGGCTTCCCTGTGTTCTTTTGCCTGAGCTGTCTGTGCTCCAGTCATCTCGGCAGTTGCCGGCCTCCTTGCATCATCAGTGTTCTCTCTACTGAATTATTCCCACCAGCTTTCAAATAGAATAATTCCTCCTACCTTAAAATGTATCTTTCTTAAACCCGTATCTACCTTCAGCTATCGTCCAATTTCTCTGCTCTCCTTCAGCTACCTCTCCTCAAAGAGTGGTCTATACCTGCTGTTCCTCTTGAATCCCCTCCAAGGTAGCCTACAAAGCCCTGCACAGTCTGGCCTGTTGGGACCCCATGGTCTCATCCTCTCTTCCTCCCTCTTCCCCTCCCTTCCCCTCCTCTTCTGTCCTTTCTTCTTCCCGTCGTTCATTCACTGCAGCCACATGGACTTCCCTGCTGCTCTCCAACTCATCAGACACACTTGGGCCTTGTCGCTTTTGCACTTGCTGTTCCTTCCTCCTGGAACACATCCCATCACCACATCAAGCACCTCCTCACCTCTTTGCTCACTGCCACTCTAACAGGAAAACCTTTCCTGACCCCCTTGTTTAAGATAGCAGCTCTTCACCCTGGTGCGTCTGCCCTCCTCCTCTGCTTCATCTCTAGCAATTTTCTCCATCTAACATATACATTTTGATGATTTGCACATTTAGTATCTATCACTCCTACTAGAATATAAACTCCTTCGTTAAAAGATCCTCAGTGCTAAGAATTGGTGTCAGATAGTAGAATGCATGAAAATGGGTATACATGCCTCACCTGTTTCACAGGGCCATTGTGAAATACTGTATGTTAAAATGTTTTGAAAGCTGCAAGACACTATAATTATTTTTGTACTCATGATCTCTACAGTGCACATTTGCAGTGTCTGTTCACCATCACGGATGCTTAAAACACAGCGGTCATTTACCCAAGTGCACCTGCCACGTAAATGAACAAATCATTGCCTCTCAAGACTGAGGGTAGAATCGCACTTGGCAATTATAAGGATGAATGATTAGCAGACTCAGTAGGGTATACTGGGAATCAAATGATAGACCTTCATAAATTTTGAATGCTTATGACACATGCTAAGCATTTTTCTAAACTGTGAAGATGATAGAAATGACTTGGACACAAGAACTTAAGAGTTTTCTGGGTGATAAGACACATACCTAAATGAATAGGGCAGTGCTTTGGAGTGAGCCAGGCCTGGATCTGCCACCTACCATGTTGGCACTGGAATTTCTCTATATCAGGGTTTGAGGGGGGTAGCCTGGTTGTAAGTGGAGAGGGCACTGATAGAAATTATGGGGGTCTAGAATCCCCCCTCCTCCAAATAAATCACATGGTTTCACCACCAGTCACTTACTAGCTGTGTGACCTTGGCCAATTTATTTTACTGTTGGAGTTTTGGTTTCCTCATCTCTAAAATGGGGACACTAAGACCTATCTGGAAAAGTTGCTGTAAGGATTAATGACATTTAATATCATGAACTACTTAGCACAACGCCCGGCACCATCTGGACACTCAATACATGGTAGCCCTTTATTATGGTTCTCATCATAAACGATTTGGATGGAAAGTGGAAAGTGAGAGGTGTCCCAAGGGAGCTGAGGGTCAGGGCCTGGGAGAGAGGACTCAGAAGGCTTCATGGAGGAGGTAGTGTGGGACCCAGCATTTTCCCAGCCTCGACTCACCGTGCTGTACTGTGCCTGCAGGTCAATCTCCAGGGCCTGGAACGTGCGCTTCAGCTCGTGGATGTCACCTTGTCTGCTCTGCACAGCAGCTGGACTGGCTGCCTCCTGGGACATGGCTGCAGACTGTAGGACCAAGCAAGGTGAAGGCATCAGCATTGGGAACTCATGGAAATGCAACCTTTGGGAAGTTTGTGCATCTTTCTTTTACCTGTTCTTTATACCAAGTGTCTAAGTCTCGATGCTTCTTCTTTATTATAAGCTCATATTCCTGTCTCATATCCTCCAGGACCTTAATCAGATCTTCCTTGGGACCTGTATTCACCTTCACATTGACACTGAAGTCATTTGGCACATGATGCTTCTCCATTTCCTGTTTAATAACAGAGAAAGGAAATGAACTGGGTTTGATAATCAGAAGGCTGGATTGCCGTGTTGATTGGCAGTGGTCAATGGATCTTTTAAACATTCTGATTATGTGGTTGCTCCACTGTCGCTGGTTTGGTTTCTCAAATGTTACTTGTTGATGATAAAACATTGTATACTTTTATCTCTAATAATTTTATAAAATAAAGAATATCTTTGAGACCAACCTGACCAGCATGGTGAAACCCCATCTCTACTAAAAATACAAAAAATTAACTGGGTGTGGTGGCACACACCTGTAATCCCAGCTACTTGGGAGGCTGAGGCAGGAGAATCCCTTGAACTTGGGAAGTGGAGGCTGCAGTGAGCCAAGATCGCGCCACTGCACTCCAGCCTGGGTGACAGAGTGAGACCCTGTCTCAAAAAAAAAAAAAAAAAAAAATTCATAAGGCAGGTAATTAAATAGCCTCCATGATTACTGACTTGATCTGTGGTTGAAAATATTTCAGAAAGAATTACGCTTCCATAGTGTGTAAAGTCCCATTTGGCAGATGTGGATTGGTGAAGTGACAACAAAGTTAGGCAGCAGAACCTTCCAGGCTATAGGCCAAAGCTTTCGGGAAGCCGTTCAAGAGGCAAACGGCAGAAAAAAGGGGTAGAGGCTTTCAAAATCTCGTCAATGCCTTGTGACCCTGTGGGGCTGACGCCCATAGGATTTCATGAAAACCAAGCAGCCACAGGAAAGATTTAATTAACAATTATTGTCTAACCAGCTATTCAGAAATTGGGCTCTTTGATGTTCAGACGCAATTTTGTTTTCCTACCATGGGACCTGTTTTTCTATCATTTTATCAGAGTCTCGAGGACTTGTGATGGATGGTAACTCTAAAAGTCAGTTAAATGCTTTTGGAAATTAGGATTCTTTAGTTTTGTCCCACATCACACTTGTCTTGGTTGGTAGCAGACTCTTTTTCATTATATTGTCCCCTAATTTGCTGAACATTGGGCCAACGATGGAAGTCCAGTCTCACACATTGATTCTTATAGTAACATATTAACAAGCACATCTAGGTAAACATTGTGTGTTAACAAAACTGTTGACCAATTCATCATGAATTATGATTGCATTTTGGTTGTTGTATTTGACATGTGAGTAGCTAACCTTGAAATTAGAAACTTTAGATATTTGTATGTTTTTCTAATGACTATTTAGGGTGAAGGACAAGGGGATTGGCATCCAGGTGGTGGTTTCTTCTGTAGCTGTCGAATCAGCCTGAGATGTTCATGCTAAGACCTGTGTTCATTACCAGGAGTTCCTGGGGAGTCCTACCTGTTCATGGCGCTTCTTCATGAGAATGAGCTCCTTCCTCATTCCCTCCACCTCCTGTTCTAGGTCTGTTGTGACAATGGTCAGGTTGTCTAAGGTCCTTCGGAGGCCCTCGACTTCAATTTCCAAGTCTCTCTTAAAGGAGTGTTCATTTTCATACCTTTGGTGAGAAGGAAGAGAAGAGTGCACCCGTTTGTTGGAAGGTCATGGTTTTTGAAAGGATTCATTTTCATTTAGAGGTGAATCTTTTACTTATTAGGTTTAAAGACAGATGATGAATACATATAGGATGTCTTTTGTATGTCAGTTTCATGCTACACTTTTCCATGATGGTGACTCAATGCCAACTTTTAAATTGAGTAGGGAGAACAGGATAATAAACAGTCACATACCCATCACCTACATTTAGCAACCGTTAATGTTTTGCTGTATTTACTTTGCCTATTTCATTGCTGAAATATTTCAAAGCAGATTATAGACATGATGACATTTTAAGACTAAATACTTCAGGATGCATCTTTTAAGAAAAATATATTTTAAAATAAACAGGCTGGGCACGGTGGCTCATGCCTGTAATCCCAGTACTTTGGGAGGCTGAGGCGGGCAGATCATGAGACCAAGAGATTGAGACCGTCCTGGCCAACATGGTGAAACGCTGTCTCTACTAAAAATATAAAAATTAGCTGGGCGTGGTGGCACGCACCTGTAGTCCCAGCTACTTGGGAGGCTGAGGCGGGAGAATTGCTTGAACCTGAGAGGCGGAGGTTGCAGTGAGCCAAGATCGCGCCACTACACTCCAGCCTGTCTCAAAAATAAATAAATAAATAAATAAGTAAATAAATAAAATAAACATAACACTACACCTAAACATTAATAACAACCCTTTAATATAATCTAATTCTTGATTCATATTCAAATTTCCCCATAACGTGCTTTTATATCTGGTTTGTTTAAACTAAGGTTCATTCAAGTAACACACAGTGCATTTGCTGTTGCTATGCCTTTTCATTATAAGATTTTAATTCCAGGTAATGGCAAGACAAGTTTTCCTTTTTTTTTTTTGAGACGGAGTCTCACTCTGTTGCCAGGCTGGAGTGCAGTGGCGCGATTTCGGCTCACTGCAACATCCATCTCCTGGGTTCAAGTGATTCTCCTGCCTCAGCCTCCTGAGCAGCTGGGACTACAGGCGTGCGCCACCATGCCCAGCTAATTTTTGTATTTTTAGTAGAGATGGGGTTTCACCATGTTGGCCAGGATGGTCTCGATCTCTTAACCTCATGATCCGTCCGCCTTGGCCTCCCAAAGTGCTGGGATTACAGGCGTGCGCCACCGCGCCCGGCCAAGTTTTTCTTTTGTAAAGCAAACAAACAAAAACCCGAACAACACTGTGAAGAAGGAACTTACTTGAGGTTGAAGTCATCCACTGCCATCCTGGCATTGTCAATGAGAAGGATAATCTGAGCATTGGTCATCTTACCATCCACTATCTGTAAAACATGCACAAAAGGTTACCTTGCTTGGACACACCCACGCATGACCGCTGCATGTCTGTCCTTTAGCTTCCTGAATATTTGACTTGTTAGTACAGACCACTTCTTGTTCTGGCAGTGGAACAATGAATGACCGAGTCAGTAAATGCTTAGTGAGCACATACTAGGTGCAAAGCAGAATGATTTTAAAGTAAGAATATGATCTGCAGTTAGTGTTACTGCCTTTCTTCTTTTTACATGGAGTTTTGACAGGCTTGGACTGATGCAACTGCTGAAACAATGGTATAGGAAGGGGAAGGACAGTAATTATTCAAAATGCCTTCTAACTTTTTAGGTTATGGACACATCATAGCATTTTGCTTAATTAAGCTCATCCACAGCTGAAGATGTTAAAAGGACTTTAGGTTCTGATCCTTTTCTTATTGTGTTAGGTTGGTGACAAAGTGATTTTTGCCATTACTTTTAATTAGTTCAGCCCTCTAAAAGTACAAAAATTATTATTTTAGATGAACATAATTCTTACTTGTGATAGCATTCATGTTTCTAATCAGTGTTACTGAGCAAAGCTAACACTAATATTCAATGTATTTTGTAATAGTCATCACAGAACACAATTTTTTTTTTGCCCAAAGTGACTATAACCATACACATAACTTGTAGATGTGTTTATGTCATTGCAACTTACTCTGGGATGAGAATGCTCTCATTGTAGCTATTAAAATATTAACTGAAATAATTCCTTACCATCTAAGGAACATGCCTAATAAGTTTTAGTAGTGGTAAGGCCTGCAGTTAAAGACTTTCACTAGATGTTCGTATAATTTTTTTTACTTTAAAAATAAAAATATTATTGAAAGCACTTACTTGAGCAATTGTGTATACATTTATGATTTATAAACACTTGTAGATATGTTATAGTCAGAGAAATAGCTCACATTCAATGTATGTCACTGTCTTTAGGGTAGAAGACGTCTCATTGTCAAAAGTGTAATAATGCTTTTACACCAAGTGTTGTGCTAGACTAAAAACTTGGAGTTTTTTTTTGGTTTTGGCTCTGTTCTTGATCATCCAAGTGGATGCATCAGGCTGCATCACTCTATTCTCCAGGCCTCAGTTTCATCCGTTGTCAAATAAGGAGTCTGCACTAGAGACAGAGGACCTTAGAGGTCTTAGGTCTAAATTTCTGTAATTTAGTTGGAGTCAGAGAATCCTGGGTAATTCCCATTATATTTATATAGCTCATTCCTTTATTTAGAAAGCATTTTCTTAGGACAAAGTTATACTCCAATACAAAGGCACCTTTTAAAAATCTTGTCCTGTTTAAAGCTCCACTGATCCCATGGAATTTGGTATCATGAATGCACAATAGCAGGATTTAGAGATGGCACAAATGCTGGGTCTGGAACTCAAGGAGCAGGGCCTGGGATCCTGCTCCACACTTACTGGCTGGGTGAACTTGGCTGAGTCTCAATTTCTTCATCCATAAAATAGCAATAGTAATAGTTACTTCATCAAAGAGTTATGAGAATTAGAAGAGAGTACATCAAATAATGTCAAATAGCATATTCTTGGCATATTATAGACAGTGAAAAATTGGTCGAAACTGAATTAGTTAAGAAAAAAGTAAAAAATACACTTTTCTTTTTTAAAATCTGGCACTTTTGTAGAGTCACTGACTACACTGTGAGCATCTCCAGGTTCTATATGCTGAGATGCCTTCTCAGACTTTTTCTGTTCATGGTGGGACATAGCCAGGCTGGCTGCTTCTGTCTCATTCTTTTTCCCCTTGTGGGATTCCAAGTGCTACTATGGCCTCTTCCCTTGCTATAAAAAAGGATACTTTTAGGTGTTTACTGTTCTCCTCTCCACAGTGCTGCTTAGGGGCATTCTTACCAATACTTCTCCCTCCAGACCAATTATTCTTTGCATTATGTAAGCTCATGCAAAATGAAAAGTAGCTCTATCCCAAAGAGCCCGGGGACCATTGTGGGGTAACCCTTACTTACTTGTGCACTGAGGTTTTCTACTTCTATTTGACACATACTATGAGGTGTTAACCTACATCCAGAGAATCAGAAAATCAAAAATACTGTCTATGGGCTTATTTAGCTTTTCTGAGTTAAATTGGTAATTTATCCGTTTCAAAGTCCACCTCAAGTGTCTGATTTCCCCAGCTATCATTCTCATAGCACTCAAATGTGAATTCTGAAATGTACTTGATATGGAGCACATTCCAGATTCTCCTGAAGGCCCTGAGTTAATTCTTTTAAAAGCAAGTTGGTATATTCGTGCAACATTGTTGCTTCAGGATGTTTGATCTCCTACCAGGGAGAGGAAATAGAATGTTTGACTGTAAACCAAAATGCCAAATATAGTCCGATTGAGAATCATTCAAGGTGTTTTATTTATGATACTCCTATGACTATGTCCAATTCTGGATTTCAAAAGGATTGAATTAATTTTTAAACTCAACTTCTTATCAACTTTTTGAGTGACATTTAATACACCTAAAGTGAGGGTGCGGGAGAGCTGTATCCACTCAGAGCATTTCACCAAGATCCAGGAAGCATAAGCCTCAGGTAACTGTGGGACCTCCTTGCACCTCTGTTTTCTCATCTTCAAATGAGGGAGTCTGGAGTAGATAGACAATCTCAACTTTAAAGAGTTGCTTTCTTCAAATGTAGAGAAAACAGTGTTAGACGTAAAAATCCAGAAAAGAATGAAATTCAAAGCCAAAGAAGTTTCCTATTTAATCTCAGAACCCAGAATTCCAGGTCTTCTGAAGGGTAGGCAAGTTGCTCCCCAAGCCCCCATTGCACCTACTTACTTTTCTCAGTTCTGTTCCAAAGGATTTAGACAACGATTAGGTCTCAGTCTCCTTATCTACAAATTGAGAATAAAAATACCAGCTCCACACAGTTGTGAGGATTAAATGAGATAATGTGTATGAAATATGTGTTGTGTGGTTAATGATGCAAGTATAACGCATTATCTTTATTCATCCTAAGTGTCATTTTTTGTATGAGGTGGGCTAGGCAGCACCACGCTGTAGTGAAATTTATGAGACTACTAGAAACAGACCTGAGTTAGAATCCCACCTCTGCTTCTTGCTGATGGCTTTGGATGGCTATTTCACTTTTTTCCAAGCTTCCATTTCCTTACAGGGTTCTTGCAGAATCAAATAAAATAATATGGAACATTTCCATCATTGCAGAATGCTCTTGGATGGTGTTGATATGTGTATTAAATATTCAGCAGGATGCCTAGGTACATAATAAGTGCTCAATAAACATTTCCCTCCCTTTCCTCCCTTTTTTTTTGGTTAAATCTCTTCTGCTAGCTCCTAAATTATTTGACCGGTTCTAACCTTGTATTTCTTTTGGGAGTCATGGTCTCCCTTTGCTCTCCATTTGCAAAAATCTTCAATTCCTCCTTTCTACAACCAAAGCAACTTTACTAAACAAAAAAACATGATGAGGACTGTTGAGTCACCTTGTTTTTTTTTTCATAAAGGCAACCATGCACTGTATAGTTAAGGTAATTACAGTCAGTTATTAGGTTGATTATTCAATAATTAGGGTTCATTACAAGGACAGATTTATATTATCTTGACTGGTCCTTCCTACATTCAAGCAAGGATGACTGAGCGTTGTGAAATAATATGGTATAAATATTGGAAACTTGTGATGCTCTTTCTAGGGGAGGTTAAATCATGGTCTTACAGAGAATTTTCTGGGACTGCTTTATATAAGAGGGGAGTTAGATAGCTTTAAAAAATAACCTATAAGATGACTGGATTCCTTCTACTTCTAGCTAATGTTATGAGACATCCCGGAAGGTGTGTGCTTAGTTTTTTTGGGGATTGGTTACAGAGTTAGTTTTTTTTGAAGAGGGTCTTTATAGCCATCCCAACTCTCAGGTTCTAAAAATTATGCTCGTTTTATTATTATTGTTTCTAGTGGTATGCCATTCTCAGAACCGTGAGCAACTTTATCTTCAACCAACCCACAAGCGGAAATATCTAGGGATGTCACGGTGACCTATATGCTGGGGTGGTGACAACTTTTAGGTGTAATGTTCAAAATCATCTAACAGCCTTTTGTTAACGGATAACCACATTGTTCAAAAAAATTTGAGGTGGAGCAGAACTGAGGTAATGAGAAGGTAAACACTCTCTTATCCCTGGTGCACTGAGCATGCAGCACGAATACTGGCCCTTATCATTTCTATGACATCGTTGGGTCATAAGTGACACTAAACAGCAGCTGGTTGCCTCACATTCTAAAGATGTTTTTGGTGTGTAAGAAATCAGGTAGTCTCATTTTCGAAACAGTCTGCAGCACTTCTGTCATTTTTGCTGCCTTCTTTTTCTACATTATCCAGGGACAGAAGATTAATTATACAGAACAGACGATTCCAACTCCAAATTTAAGGTATCATAAGAAAACATCCCCCAAAACCTTTGTGCACCATTACTTCAAGCGCTGTTGCCATTTTCCTGGAAATTGTCTTCCGGACTGATTCCTCCTCCCGAGGGTTCCCAGGCAAAGCAGCCCCACCTGGAGCTCCCGGGTTACGCAGTCTCTTACCTGCTCCTGCAGGTGTGTGATGTTTTCCTCATACTGGGAATAATCTTTCTTCCTGCCAGGATCTCTCTGCTGGTGCCACTTCAGGATGCGGCTTTCCAGCTTCATGTTGGCCTCCTCCAGGGCGCGAACCTTCTCCAGGTAGGAGGCCAGGCGGTCGTTGAGATTCTGCAGGGTGGCCTTCCCATTTCCGCCTAGGAGGGGGCTGCTTCTTCCAGAACCCCAAGACCCTCCAGCGGGTGGGCAGCTCCGCGTGGTGAAGGACAGGGAGATGCGGGTTCCCCCTGCACCGCCGTGGACGGTGGGAGCCCTGGGGAAGCTCCTGGGCCGGCCCCAGCCATCTCCGGTGCCGTGGAAGGAGGCCGAGGGGGTCTGGCTGAAGCTGCTTCTGGAGTTCATGGTCCCATCTGTGTTTGGGATGGGGCTGGGCTCTGTTTCACTCCCTGGTACCGCAGAACTGAGCCGCGCCAGACTGCCCTGGATGGTTTTATGGCCTTTGCTGTGGGAGTTCCCTTCTCTGACAATTGTACCGACAAGATCGTATCATTGTGCAACCTGTGTTTCCTCTTGGTCAATCCCACAGTGCCCCGGGCCTTCGCACACTGTTGTTGTTTAGAGCCACATCAATGTGACAGTTTGCTTCCTCCCTTCCCCTGGTAACCGGAGGTGTGGCGCAGGACATCAGGCGGGTGTTAGGCTCAGGTATCTTTCTAATCTTGCTGGGAAGTTTTTCCATTGTTCATTTACCTGGAAAGGGTTAGGTTAAAGTACACCCAAAAGAAAGCATATTCGGTGTAGTATAGATTTCCTTAAAAAACAAACAATAAACGCCAAAAAACAAACATTAAACAACAGAGACACACACACGTTTTTCCACCCCCAGTAATCTCCACCTCTAAAGGGAGGGTGAGTGAGCCTGAGAAGGGAGAGCCAGCTCAGAACAGGATCTTGGGTCCTGGAATAAAGCTTGCTGTGCTGAGGCAGTTGAGAAGATGGTGAATATCTGATGCCTCTGTGACAGTCACTGTTTGAAGGAAAGTACTTTCAAAGGACTCGCTCTTAAGAACAAACCCTCAATTATAGATATAATTAATTAATGAATGACCGAACCTTCCACTTCCAGGGTGCCTTTCATCCCAGCACACCTCAAAACCAAACAACCCTGGCCTGCGCTCAGGACTTCCCTTGGCCCTCGGGGAGGAATGCAGCCGTTGTGAGCAGCCGGGGACCCTGGCTGAGCCTGCCACAGCTGGGTTCTGTGTGTCTGTAACCTGCAGAGGGACGATGGAAAACAGGAAACCTGCCATGGACTGTCAAATGTGGTTGATGAATCTTATATTTCATCTGCCAAGGTAAAGGTTAGGAATGAATAAAGAAGCAGTCTGGGGGCGGGAGCCACGTGCTAGTTACTGGCAGCTAGATTTAAAGGGGACTTACAAATAAAAATACCAGCACAGGAAGGGCTTCTAGCCTGTCTGTTTCCAAGCCACTGATCGGACAGATGAGGAAAGCTGAGGCCTGTGGTGGTGGGGAGGTTAGTGGCAGAGCTGGGGCTAGATTCTTTCTCCACATAGCACTGTTATCTGGGGTTGAATATTGACAGGTCCTGTACCACACTTCTCTTTCATAAGGATAGGACTTGCCAGTTGATGTAGCTCTTTCATATTCTTTATTGAATCCTCACAACTCTTTATGTAGCCAGGCAAGGGTTGTTGTCTTCATTTTGCAGACAAAGAATCAAGGTCTCACAGGGGTGAATGATCCGGAGATGATTTGCATGTGCAGTGTAATTAAGCACATGAATTCATAGGTGACACTGCCCGTGTCTGTGCTGTCCTCCCTGCCTGGAAAGTCACCCACCCCACCTCGTCTATAGTTCCAGGGCTACCTCCTTCAACAATCATTTTCTGAATTCTCCTGCATGAGTTGGGTGACCCTGTAGGAGGAACTGCCTCTTCCGGATGCCGAGGTCCTCCGGAGGGGCGGACACCTGGGCATCCCACTTCATGGTGGAAGCTGGGAGCCCCCAGCCAGGCCCAGCCACCTCCTGTGCCTGGGATGAAGTCCACCCCATTCTTCCACCCCATTGTACTGCATTTGTCACGCCCCTCTGAGACCGCAGGCTTCTTGAAAGCAGAGTTGATGTCTTCCATTTTTGAGCACCAAAGTCTGTCTTCTTGGTGGTATTTTGCAAATGTGCGTTAACTCAATCATAAACTTTTAGAGTCAGGGTTTTAACACAGGTCCCCTGGTGCCATCACCTTCGCTCCTTTTAGGACTGTGGGTTATAAAACTAGAAAGTCGGAAAACGCCTCTCCTGGGTATGGATTAACCACCCACGAAGGCCAATCCTTTCCGATTACAAATAAAGTCACCCAAAAGCGCACCAGCTTTGCCCCTCCCAGTCTTACAACAAACCCTTATCAGGGAAGAGGCTCTGAATATTTTTTATTTCACCGTGCACAAGCTGGAAAAATGAGCCTCCAAGCCTCAGGGAAACTTGGGGAGTGCTTAGAAAGAGTGCCTGCAGTCACTTACATCTCAGATATGAGAAAAAGACAAAAGAGACACGTGATAAAAATAGAGCAAATGAGGGAACTAGAGAGACTTGTTTGGTGAGTGGTGGCAAGCAGTGTTCTGTGGATGTGGACGGTTCCTGGTCATCAAAGTTATGGTCAGCTCTGGTTCCTGTTCACCCGGACCCAGCCTTACCAAGGAAGAAAACATTTACCGTTAGCATGTGCAAGGGCTGGGCTGCACTGCCTTTCTCTAAATTCTCTCACCAGAATCTACAATGGAATGAATGCTTCTCTACTCATTTCAGGCATGTCTGAGTGGCAGTGACTTATCAACCCCATAAATTTGGCCACTGTCTCATTTTATGTCCGTGTGTGGGAGTTTTGATTTATAGGAGTTATCCTTGAGCCAAAGTTTTCTTGTATCATAGCAGGACCAGGGCGGGGAAAAACTGGTAGTGAGATCTGAGAGCACTGGGGAGAAATAGTCTCTTCCAGTACTGTTATATGATGGTTTCCCATAACTTTTTTTTTTTTTTCCCTCGAGATGTAGTCTTGCTTTGTTACCCAGGCTGGAGTGCAATGGCACAATCTTGGCTCACTGCAATCTCCAACTGCTGGGTTCAAGCGATTCTTCTGCCTCGGCCTCCCGAGTAGCTAGGATTACAGGTGTGCACCAACATGCCCAGTTCATTTTTTTGTGTTTTTAGTAGAGATGGGGTTTCACCATGTTAGCCAGGCTGGTCTCGAACTCTTGACCTCATGATCTGCCCATCTCGGCCTCCCAAAGTGCTGTGATTACAGGCATGAGCCACCATGCCTAGCCGATTATCCATAACTTCTTCTTCTTCTTTTTTTTTTTTTTTTTGAGACGGAGTCTCGCCCTGTGGCCCAGGCTGGAATGCAGTGACACGATCCCGGCTCACTGCAAGCTCCACCTCCCGGGTTCAAACAATTCTTCTGCCTCAGCCTCCCGAGTAGCTGGGACCATAGGCATGTGCCACCACGCCCAACTAATTTCTGTAGTTTTTAGTAGAGACGGAGTTTTACCATGTTGGCCAGGCTGATCTTGAACTTCTGACCTTGTTATCCACCCGCCTCGGCCTCCGAAAGTGCTGGGATTACAGGTGTGAACCACTGCACCCAGCCCTGATTTTCCATAACTTCTGATGTGTAGAGTTCCATTGGATTTTTAAAAGAAATGATGCTTTTTTGGGGTAAAAATGATACATGCTTATTATACAAAATCAAGTGATACATGATAGTACAGGAAAAAATATTTTAAAATTCTACCCCACACACACACAACCTTTGGTGACATTTGGTGAACGTCCTTTCAGATACTCTGCGTATGCATTGGAAGACGAAAGAATGGCTAGAATAATTGGAAAAATGGGCTCATGTGACTTACTCCATTTTAGAAAAACTTAAGTCAATTGACAAATTTTAATTGGCAACTAAGGAACTAAAATGAATTCACTTTAGTGACATAGTTTTTCTAGAATTTAAAAACGTTCATCACATTCTTTTAAATTTTACATTTTTAAGAAGGGTAAAATGTCCTGTAAATGCCAGTATTTGTGGAATCGCAGGACTGGAAAGAAGAGCAACACTGAGCCACTGGTTGCAGATTTTTGCTCTTAGGGAGGACAACGGCAGAGTGCTGAGGTTGTTTTTGAACTATTCTTAAAGAACTCGAGGGATAGAGCCTCCAACTGCTTCCTCAGTAAATGGCCAACGTCTGCTGATCCTTTTGGTTCATAAGCATTTCACTTGCAATAGGTTTCATAATTTCTTTTGGTTTTCTGTAGCGTTCAATTGTTCAGAATCAAAATCATTCTCCTTTGCATAATTTTCTGGCTGAACCATTTGTAGTTTTCACGTTTGATTCATCTTTCTGGTGAACGGCATTGTGGTCTCTGAAAGGGAGTGGGTATTTTGTAAGAGCTCAGCTGGTGAATGAATGCGTGGAGTTGCATGCAAATGTGTTGGGGTCAGAAGGGAGCCCTGTCAGAAGGTAGCTGTCATTAACTGGGTACACTGTTTGTGAGCCTTTTCAAGACAACCATTTCATCAGCGAAGCATTTTATAGGCACCCGATCTTTACAGTAGAGAAGAATGGCCAAAATGACTCTCGAATACATTTTTACCACACATGACATTTCAGAACAGATGAGTAGCAGGTCTTCAGGCAAAATTGCTATGCTATTATCCTATGAGTTGGAAGGTTACATAAGAAGGTTAGACATTTATAGAAATAAAACATGCCCATTAAAAAGTGGGCAAAGGACATGAACAGACACTATATACAGATACTATTTGCAAGTGACTCTTAAGTTGGCTGTCGTTTTCTTCCTCGTTTGAAATACTGTATTGAAGACTTCGTAACTCACATCTTCTCTCTGTTGGCCCCTTTTTCCTAGACAAATAGAAATATGAGAAAATAATCTGAGGATAGTGCTGTAACAAAGTGTTTTATATCAGCCTTACTTGACCACTCATGCTTAAGCCCTTGTAGCATCTTATTCATTGGGAAAACGTTCCCAGCTGAAAACAATCAATCCCGTGCTTCAATTGCAGCTGCAATTTTAAACATGGAATTCAATAGATAGACTTTAAGAAGTTAGTAAAATCTCTAAAGCTATATGCAAAAATTTCTCTGCAAGTTTATATGCTTTTCTGAGGAAACTGTTGTTTTTAAAAATTTCAATTAGGCTGGGCGTGGTGGCTCATGCCTGTAATCCCAGCACTTTGGGAGGCCGAAGCGGGTGGATCGATCACTTGAACTCAGGAGTTCGAGACCAGCTTGGCCAACATGGTGAAACCCTATCTCTACTAAAAATACAAAAAATTAGCCGGACGTGGTGGCATGCGCCTGTAATCCCAGCTACTCTGGAGGCTGAGGCAGGAGAATCACTTGAACCCCGGAGGCAGAGGTTGAAGTGAGCCGAGATTGCACCATTGCACTCCAGCCTGGGTGACAAGAGTGAATCTCCATCTCAAAAATAATTTTTTAAAATTAATTATTATTTTTTGAGACAGGGTCTCACTTTGTTGCCTGAGCTGTAGGCAGTGGTGCAATCATGGCTCACTGCAGCCTCAACCTCCTGGCTCAAGTGATCTTTCTGCCTCCACTTCCCCAGTAGCTGGGACTATAGGCATGCACCACCACACCAGGCAAATTCTTTCTAAAAATATTTTGTAGACACGAGGTCTTGCTACGTTGCTCAGGCTGGTCTCAAACTCCTGGGCTCAAGCAATTCTCCTATCTTGGCATCTTGAAGTGGTAAGATTAAAGGCATGAGCCACTTCACCTGGTCTCATTAACTTTTCAAAGGAGTATATAAGTTTAAAAAGTCAGGATCCAGTGATGTAAAACTTTAGTTTCCTTCCCTGTTGCCAGTGAGCTCCTTTTTCTCTGTTTCTCCTCCTCCCCTCCCTCCATCTTCTCCTTCTTCTTCCTCTTCCTCCTCCACCTCCTCCTCTTCTTCTCCTTCTCCTTTTCCTCCTTCTCCTCTTCCTCCTCCTTCTCCTTCTTTTCTCCTCATCCTTTTCCTTCTCCTCCTCCTTTCTCTCTTCCCCCTCCTCTTTCTTTCCTCCTCCTCCTCCTCCTCCTCCTCCTCCTCCTTCTTCCTTTTTTTACTTTGGCATAGAGACAATGCTTTAGGTTCACTAAAGTTTTTGCAGTTGTGGGATATTGATTAAAACACCTGCTCATTTAAGTGGTTGGCTATATTTAAAATGTTTTTATTGCTTTTTTTCTCCTACCCCCAAACTGTGCATTTCATCTCTAATTTCATTATTGGTTGAATACCACAGCCACAAATCATTTGACTTAAAATCCTCTAACTTAGTTATTAATTTTATTGAAGATTTCCTTTAG